TTAAAAATCCAGTCATTGATTTTTAAAGCACCTAACACATGAAAGCAGACACAAAATATTCTGATAGGAGAAAAGTCTATTGACCAAGAAAGTGCTAGAGTGAGATCCCACTTGTATTTTTTAAATTATTCTTGTTGAGAGACTAGAAATAGAGGAATCAAGACGATAACAGCAGGATACAGCTGGCGCACACCTGTAATTCCAGAGACTTGGGAGGCTGAGGCAGGAGGATTGCAAGTTCGAGGCCAGCCTGGGCAATCCAGTGAGACTGGGTTCAGTCCACAGTTCCAAAATAAATAAATAAGAGGATTGACGGTATGGCTCCGTGGTCAGGTGCCTGTCTAATACGTGTGAGGCCCTGGGTTTGGTCCCCAGCACTGCAAACAAAACAAAAGAGATTATTTCTGGTTGAGAATGATTTTTTTTTTCTGTCTTTTTTGGCTTCTCTGCATTTTTCCAATTATATATCCCACAGTAAATGTTTGTATACCCTTTGTAATGATACAAAAAAAAAAGTAAGACATGTCACTGTGGACTTACTTAAAAGTGGACCACTTTAAAGTGGTTGCAATGTGAATTTCATGTGCACAATAGAAATACAGAGAAGGAAAGATGGAAGGAAGGCCAAGTGTGAGATGTTAGAAAGAGACTCCCCCATCCCACAGTGTATCAGTCAGCTTCACGTCACTATAACAAAGCACCCCTGACACAGTCTACTTATGCAGGAAAGACAGGTTCAAGTCCAAGACCAGCAGGTCCTGTTAGCTTGGGCCTCTGGTGTAGGTGGCACAGCGTGGTGAGAGCACAGGTCAGGGAAAGTGCTCACATTTCAAGCAAGGGACAGAAGCAGGGAGAAGCTGAGAGGCCAGGGACCCAGGATCCCCTTCCAGGGCATGTTCCCAAGGACCTAAAAACCTCCCATGAGGCCCCACCTCCAAAGGCCTGTAGCTCCTCCCAGTGCTGCCTCCCAGGGACAAAGTTTGGAACCTATGGACCTTTGCAGGAAACTACCATGTTCAGCCCCTGGCACACGGGATCTCAAGGCGGGAGGCGGGACTTCCCGTGCAGATTCACAAAGGGTGTGAGTCCCAGAGCTCACCTCCAGCTCTTGTTCCCTCGGCCAGAGCAAGCTTCCACATGGAGGTCAGAGACCAGGACAGGAGCTCTGGTAGAGAGATCGGGGGACACTTGGAGGGTGAAGTGGCCATGCTGTAAGTTCCTCCCTGTTCTTGGGGCATAAGGGGCAGGATGCTACCTTCCACCACCAAGCCCAGCAAAGACGGCTTTGAGACGGCCTGATTCTTGGAGAATCCAGTCGGAGCCATGCTTGAGAGGGTGAAAGGCTGTCTGGAGGGCAGGACCTGGGTGTGAGGGCAGAGCTAGGTGGCTGCAGGCATGTTGGGACCAGCCTGTGTGAGAATTTCCCAAACACCAGATGGGAGTCGGGTGAGACAGAGCTGGTGTGACGTCATCTTGGATCCCACTCAACATGACTGCCCAGCAAGGGGAGGAAACCTCAAGAGAACAAAGCTGGTGGAGCCTGCTGGCTGCCCTGAGGCTGAGGGAGAAGCTGTCAGGGACCACTACAAATTAAGATGCACACTCCAGGGTCAAGTTTTCAGGGGAGAGGGAGTTTGTTAGTCAGTTTTCTGTTACTGTGATAAAATGCCTGAGAGAGTCGATTTATAAAGAGAAAAGGTTGATTTGGGCTCAGTTTTAGAGTTATAGTTTATGGTCAACTGACCCATGATTTTGGGCCTGCAGCAAGGCAGCACATCGTCATGGGAGCACCTGGCAGAGCCAGACCACACGGCTAGAAAGCAACCAGAAAAAGAAGAGAGTCTGGGGTCCCATAATCCCCTGCAGGGACTTTTTCCCAAAGACCTAAAACCTCCCACAAGTCCCCACCTCTCCAAGGTTTCACAACCCATCAACTGTGCCACGCCAGGTACCAGGACTTTTCACAAAGACCTTTGAGGGACATTCAAGATGCAAACAAGGAAAGTGCTGGAAAGCAGGTAGAAAAGCACCCACAGGGAAGGAGGCAGCTACCTATAACCAAGGAACTGCAGGAACTTCCTCCTCCACCTTCCTCAAACACCCCCAGGGACACAAACAGCAGCTAACAGTGACGAGAGGGGACAGGAGCAGCTCATGTGCTTCCCAGTCCCTTGCCCTAGTGCGGCAGGTCCTGCCGAGGGAGAGGTCGCTGTTCTCTGCATCAAGTTCTGGACGCTCCAGTTATTCAATGGCCTATTCACTGCTCAACATGACGTCAAAATAAGAGCAGAGTCTTGGGACCTGAGAGCATGTTATCCAGGACCAGAAGATGACTCGCATGTTTTAAAAAGGGCTTGAAAGGATGGAAGGAAACGAAAATGGAATTGTGTCTGGGTTATGATAGCAGTTCTGTTACTCCAATGACTCATGGTACTGGGAAACAAAAACCAACTGCTGGGTCCCCAAGTGTCATGGCATTCTCTGTGACTCTTTTCTATGCTTAAGGCCCCAGGGCCGGAGTGGCTGAGATCAAACATCTTATTCTGGAGAAATCCAAACCCTGCTGCAATTCTGCTTCAAGAATGAACCCATGAGCTGCAAAGCTTATGTCCACACAAAGGCCCACGTTGATGTTCCCAGCAGTTCTTCTCATTATCGCTGCAAACTGGAAACAACCCAGGAATCCATCAACAGGTGAGTGGATAAACAGATGGAAAATATTTGCACAGTGGGAGAAGCCTCAGCAATAAAAATGAATGGACAATTGTTCGGCCCAACCGCAGAGGAATCTCAAAACGCATCATGCCGCAAGAATCCCGGCTCCACAGAACACCTACGGCTGGTTCTAATGGAGTGGAACATTCTAGTCCGACAGACAGCCACCAGGTGGTCTCCTCCACACCCCGGTTCCCTTCCTTACTTTATTTTTTCATTCTTGCCTTCTCCTTTTCACCTTCTGAAAACTGCTTTACGGACATTCTTTAAGTTAAATTAGCCAGTCTCTTTCTCACAAGGCTTGCTACCTGCCTGCACCCATCTGAATTCTTGACAAATGGCAGAAGTAACTTCCCTCCCCACCTGGGGCTTTTGCCTTTAAACCTTGCTTCAGCCTGTCTGAAATTTGCGTCTCCTGAGCTGCAACTCTGAGCAGCCCAAATAACTGTTTCTTAATCAGTTTGTGCACCCATTTATCTCAGAATAAGAAAAGATAAACTTATAGAAGTAGAAAGTAGAACCGGTGGAAGGAGGGAGAGGTTGTGAAGTTGGTCAAAAGATTAAAAATTTCAGTTAGGAGGAATAAGTTCAAGAGATCTGGCGTGTAACATATTGAACATTGTTAACAGCAATATAATTAGTTCTTGGAATTTTCTCAGAGTAGATTTTAAGTGTTCTCCCCCCCAAAATAATGAGATTGCACATTAGTGAACTCGATTGAGCCATTCCAAATGTATGTGAATTTCCAAACATCCCGTTGTGCACGATAAATATGTGCATTTTTTTGTCACTTGAAGAATAAATGAAGGATTCTAAAGGCTTTTTTTAAACGTACATAATGATGACTCAAAATTCGTTTATTATTTTATTTATCAAACGCTTGGAAATGAATGAGAACTGATCAGGTTACAAAATCAGGTCCAGGGTCTTTCAAACGCTCCACACACGGCAGCGAGCGAAAACGCATCCAAACGTCAAGCAAACGACAAAGCATTGGGTTTTGAACACCTGGGCTACAGGCTGAGAAAGCGGAAGGAGGCGTCAAAACCGGAAGTGTGGCAGCTGAGAGGCTCGGGCACGCGCCTGACTCTCCGCCTTGCCCGCGACCGGAAATGTGGCTCAGTCTGCACGCCAAGGACGCCCGCGCGCCGACCACGTCAGCCAATCAAGAAGAAGTGAGGCGGGCGTTGGGACGGAAATAACATTTACAAACGGGAAGTGTGGCAGTCTCCCCACCGAACTGCCAGCGGGAGCCATGGAGGCCTACGAACAGGTCCAGAAGGGGCCCCTGAAGCTGAAAGGCGTTGCAGAGCTCGGCGTGAACAAGCGGTGAGGCCCGTGGCACGCGTTCCTCTGTTCCGCTAGAGTATTCCCGCGGCCCCCGACCTCACTGTCTCCCTCCCGTCTCCCCTCCCAGGAAGAAGAAAAAGAAGGACAAGGACAAGGCGAAACTTCTGGAAGCCATGGGAACAAGCAAGAAGAACGAAGAGGAGAAGCGGCGCTGCCTGGACAAGCGGACGCCGGCCCAGGCGGCCTTCGAGAAGATGCAGGAGAAGCGGGTGGGGCGCCGCGCTGGGCTGCGGGCCCCCGGGGCGGGTGCTCGGGCGGATCGGGGGCTGGAAGCTGCACGGGGCGAGGGTCGTCGCAGGGGACTCAGGGCCGGGGAGGCGGTTCCCCTCGCCCCGGGCAGGGCGTGGGCCGGGCTTTCCCACGCTGTGACTCGCTCGCCTTGCGCCTCTGCCCGAGCCCCATCAGTAGGTGTCAGGACAGCACTTTGTCCTGAGGGGTCGGGGACGTGGGCACTAGGTCTTGTGGCCCTGGGCGCTCACTGGGTGTCAGCTGTTGGTTGTTGGCTGTGCTCAGCTCCGAGCCCCCACGGCCCGTTTCTATGACGCCCTTGTTGGGCAGAGCCGGATTTTCCGTATTACAAGGCCCTGTGTGTCGTTTCTGTTGGTATTAAACCCTGAGTGAATCTGGGCGGCGCGGGAAAGGAGAGGTCAAGGCAAGACAGACAGGCTTAGCGGACCATGCCGGAGAGGGAATAACGGTGTGGGTTAGTGCTCCTAGTGGTTCTCTCCCCCAGCACGGGTCTGCCGAGGGAGTGCTGTGGACATCCAGTGGGTGGGGACCAGCGAGGCCACCGCTCAACCTACCATCACAGAACGGTGCCCCCTGCCCACTGCGAAATGATTTGTCCTCAAATGCCAGTGGTTCTGAGTATGAGCCAGGTTCAGGGGTGCTGCGTGTAATCGGGAGGCTGAGCAGAAGGATCACAAATTCAAGACTAGCCTGGGCAACTTTGAGACGCCCTGTCCAAAATAAAATATAGGAAAGGGCTGAGGATGTGGCTCAGTGGTAGAGTGCTTGCCTGGCATGTATGAGGCCCTGGGTTCAGTCGTCAGTAGTATCAAAAAGAAAAACAAATTAGTGCTGAGGCTGGGAAGTCCTATCCATGGTCTGTGTGAACCTAAACAGTGACACTGGTGAGAGTTAACTGATTACCCTTGGGTAGAATTTGGTCCGTACAAAAAACACGTGGCAGGCTGGGGTTGTGGCTCAGTGGTAGAGCACTTGTGTGGCACTGGATTTGACCCTCAGCACGGCATAAAAATATATAAACAAAATAAAGGCATCGTGTCCATCTATAACTTAAAAAAGTCAAGTGTCCATCCACTTAAATAGGGCTAAAGTCTTCCTTGTAGGGTTTTGGTGAGTGCAGGTCTGTCCTCAATCTGTAACCTGTGGTTGTAGTTGTAAGCAGGGCTGAGATTTTGTGGCTGGAGTCAGGAAGGGATTCCAGCAACCCTCGGGTGACTACTGAGAGCCCTCAGTTGGCATTTAGAATGGAGAAGGAAGGCGGATATTTGTCATCAAGAAGCATGCCGTCCTTCCTCTTAGAACTGCTTTTCCAGACACATCTGATGGGCATCGCCATGGCAGACGTTGCTCATTGATTTTAGCATTCTTTATAATGAATGCTGGCATGGTCCTCACAACCCTCAGTCCTGGGCCCCGGGTATATATGTCCAGCATTGGTACATCACTTGGCGCCCCTGTAGCTTCCACAGATGAGTGAGGACATGTTGTATTGTCTGTGACCCGGATCCTGTAGGCCTCGGCACTCCAGCTGGGACTCAGGATAGGCCCTTTACCCTCCTCTCTCCCCTCCTTCCTGTAACCCCATGTGGGACTTGCTCTTCTGCAAGCTGCAGTGCTGTCCACTGCCCAAGGGTGCAGGAAGCACGTGTCCAGCTTTCAGCAGAGTCTGCTCATGCTCAGTTGGTGCTGGTTCATTTCCTCCCACTCAGGAAGCTAGGACCAAAGGTGACTGAGCCAGGTTCTCTGTTGGACTAGCCTGAGTGGATTGAGGGGAGGGACAGGGTGTGCATCCTGAGGCCTCTGGCTGTTCTAGAAGGGAGACCAGGCTGGCTGGGCCGTGTTGGGCATGCAGAGTCACCTCCCTGTCTCTTCTCTTCCAGCAAATGGAGAGGATCCTGAAAAAAGCATCCAAAACCCATAAGCAGAGAGTGGAGGTGAGTCAGGTGCCCGGTGTGGGGAGACTGAGCCGTTTAGGGTCCCAGCTTGGCCCAGAGTCTGTGGGAGCTATTGGAATGCTGGTGGGGGAAAGGTTTACTCAACAAGAATGGCACCTCCCATGGCTCCTTCAGAGAGAGCCCAGTGTTCAGGGGTTGTAAGGCTTGCAGGGTGGGTGTGAGGAGGGGCTTGCTGGGCAGAGACAGGACATGGGAGAGGTGGGGCTGGGCAGTGCCATGAGTCCCTAGTGCCCTGGCTGGGCCTGTGCTGATGCAGACCTTCTCCTTCGCTTCCTAGGACTTCAACAGGCACCTGGACACCCTCACAGAGCATTATGATATCCCCAAAGTCAGCTGGACCAAGTAGATCCTGGCCCTGGCTGTGGAGGAGCATCGAGGGAGAGCAGAAGACAAAGTCGGGATTGTTTGGTTGCTTTGGTATTTTCCGGAAACATTCTTTTATACCCATGCCTCTTCTGCTGACACAGTGCTTTTCAAAACTCTGTCCCCTCAATCTAGAACTTGATTAAAGTAAGACTGCCCTTTTATTTAATTTTGGTCTTTTTGGTAGCACATTGACGGTAACCCTTTTTAGTTTGAATTGGAAAGTTCTGGAGATGCTAACCTCAGACTCACTGTATGAGTGTCGTGTTAAAGTTTTGAGAGTGGCATCTGACACTCTGAGGCCAGCCAGCTGTCTTTGCCTGGATGAGCTGGACTGCAGAGGACGAGAAGCTGGCCTGGCCCGGCCCGCACCACGCAGACCCTGCAGACCCACCCGGGCTGCTCTGACTGGGGACTTACATTCTCTGGCCCAGGCACTGAGGAGCCCTGTGCAGCCTTGTGGCCTTCAGGATGCCTCCCCGGCCACCTGATGCCATGCAGCCCGGTAGCAGAGCAGCCACCCAGGGCAGGGATGGTCATGAATGTGTGCCTTGTCCCCTTTTAAGCCGGTGGCCTATTTTCAGTCTCTCCCCCCAGTGAATGCTTTCTGGACGCATTTGATGGTGTTGCCTTGGCAGATGTTGCTGATTGGCTGCAGCGCTCTCTCTAATGGAATCTGGGCACAGTCTCGCACACAGCCCTCATCCTGGAGCTCCATGTGTGTATTCAGAGGTGGCATGTCACATGGAGCCTCTGGTTCCTGACCTCGGACCCTCATGGGGGACCAACCAGGGCAGAGCCCAGCCCAGAGAGACAGGTGCAGAGGAGCAGCAGGGCCCAGGTCCGAAGGCTGAAGAGCTCAAGTCTCGGAAGGTCTGTGTGCACCACAGGAGGATCAAATGGCAGCATGTAAACTACAGAATAAAGCAGAACCGCTATTAAAATGGAAGTCTGAGGGTCTCAATTATAGATCCGTTACCACAGAAGCGCCGCACCTGAAGGATGTGCGTGGTGCAAACTATTTCTCAATGGAAAAAAGTAGAACACACAGTTTCTACCTGTGGTTTGTATCTAAGAAAGAGGACATGCAGGTTGGATGTCCCTTATCCCAAATGCCTGTGGCCAGAATTTTTGGGATTTGGGAATATTTTCATAAACATAATGAAGTATCTTGCAGTATCTAATACAATTCATTGTTTCATATATACCCTATACGTGTAGCCTAAGGGTAATTTTAAATATTTCTAACAATTTTTAAAAATTTTTTTTTAGTTTTACATGGACACAACATATTTCATTTTTTATGTGGTGCTGACGATCCAACAGCGCCTGGTGTGTGAAGCAAGTGCTCTGCCACTGAGCTGCAACCCCAGCCCTATTTCTAACAATTTTGTGCATGAAACAGTTTCATGGTGTGGAATTTTCCACTTGATGTCAGAGCTCACAAGAGTTTTGTATTTTAGAGCATTTGAACTAAGGGTGTGCAGCCTGGAGTCCCATTAGCACTGACTGGCTCCTTTCATCAGTGACTCGCCCTGCCCGTTAGCCTGGGTCCGTTGTGTGCTGGGAAAACCTTTGTCCATGAGGTGGTAAGATGAATCTTGTAATGATCCGCACATTGAGCTCCTGCAAAACAGCGACTTAAAACATTCGTGATCTCGGTTCTGTGGGTGGACAGCTCGGTTGGATGGTTCTTGGGGTTTATTTCACTGGTGTGGCTGCACTGGCTAGCCCGAGGGCCGGCAAGTCCTGGAAGGCTTGTCCTCCTCCAGGGTTCTTCTCCATGCAGCTATTAGTCAGCAAGTCGTAGCCAAATGCAGGGTCTGGGAGGGAGCTCACCGAGAACCTGGGCACCGAGAGGTCTGGTTTGTTGTCACAGTCCATCACGGTGGTTCTCAAATTCTGCACGTTAGTGTTGCCCTGAGTGTGGTGATGGACATCCTGGGGAGCATTAAGAACCACAAATGTCAGAAGCCATGGTCTGGGGTGGGGTTAGGTCATGAATTTTTCAGAGCTCCCCAGGTGACCCCAATATGCAGCAAAGTTTGAGAAACACTGGTCTATACGATAGGTATGGTCTTTCCTGATACTGCTGAGATCATATCTGGCATACATAATAAATGTAAAAGCCAAGGTTGAAATTCAGATGTGACCTGAATTCCCCCATGTAGAGAAAAGGGTTACTAATAGTTTATGTGTAAAGACAGTATTTACTGTATTGGACTCAACACAAAACTCAGAATACCTTCAGCGAGCCAGAAGTGTTCCATTGAGTGAGACCTCACCTCCCTTGCTGGTTTTCTTCTTGCCTTAGTTTTTTTTTTTTTTTTTTTTTTTTTTTTTTAAGAAAGAGGGAATTTAAAAATATTTTTTAGTTTTCAGTGAACACAACGTCTTTATTTTTATGTGGTGCTGAGGATCGAACCCAGTGCCCTGTGCATGCCAGGCGAGCATGCTACCACTTGAGCCACATCCCCAGCCCCCTTGCCTTACTTACAGTTTTGACATTTTTTTTTCTTCAGTGAACATGTCAAAACTGTAAGTAAGTAATCTGAAAATACACGTTTTCTAAATGCAATAATTTGGACATAGTATGAAGCTATGTACAGGGTTTCTTATACGTGGCATCAATCACAGGTACTTCTTTCTGAACGACAGATTTCTTCTTCAGTAGTAGTCACCAACCTGATGTGTGATCACAGTCCATCTAGAGTGTGGCCATCCCACAATTGGTTTCAAAAGCTCTTCTTGGCCGAGCTTGGTGGTGCACGCCTGTAATCCCAGCAGCTTGGGAGGCTGAGGCAGGAAGATGGTGAGTTCAAAGCCAGCCTCAGCAATTTAGGGAGGCGCTAAGCAACTCAGTGAGACCCCGTCTCTAAATAAAATACAAAATAGGGCTGGGGATGTGGCTCAGTGATCGAGTCCCCCTGAGTTCAATCCCCAGTACAAAAAAAAAAAAAAAAAAAAGAAGAAGCTCTTCTTGGCTGCTTGCTCTGTGCTTTGTGCAAGAATGCTTCCAGGGCACCACAAAAAAGCTTCCAACCTAGGATTCGCTTAGTAGCCTTCGAATATTCCATATTTCTCAATTATATTCTGCAATTATATCTCTATCCTAAGTAGAAGTTATATAATCACAGAGTTGCCAAAACCCTCTTTCCAAATGCTAAACAGATAAGAGGCAAGATAGAGATATGCGAGAGATAGGCAGACTGAGTAAATGCTGTGACAGCCCTTTTGGGATGCCCTGAGTGTGGTGATGGTTCAATGGGACAGAATGCAGGAATTTCTCCACAGGCCAAGCGTTCATAAAAGCAAACTTGGCCCAGTGGTGGAGCTTTTGCCTAGCATGCCTTAAGACCTTCGTTCCATCCCGAGCACTGCCAGAAAAAAAAAAAAAAGTTAACTACATGTAATCCAACCGAATAATTAGCCACAATTTGCATGATCCACAACGACTCAACTACAAAAATCAACCTTGCTTTTTGCCCACGCTAAGTGGGGCGTGGTTTTCACGAGAGCATTCCAGGCAATAAACTGGCACGCTTCTTCACTGATAAAGGTTGACACTGGCAGGTGACACGCAATAACTGTAATATTTAATTGCCATTCAGAGAGTTTATTTGACTTCCATGTCATCACCGCCCCTCCCCTTAGGGCTTATCGCAGTCCATTACTATATTTGTTTCCCTGACTTCCGATCAGACTGCAGGCTCTCTAAGGCTGGCCCCACGTTGGTTCCATTACTAGCCCCTGTCGCCTAATTTGGACCCCAGCACGGGGTTTCCAGCCGCCGGGTGTTCCTGACAGCTGGGCTACCCGAGGGCTCAGGTTTAGTCAGCCCTCCTTGGCCCCGCCCCCTGCCATTTGCTTCCGGCGTGTTTGAGACGGGGACGAGAAATAAGGGCGTATAGGATGTGCTGCGTCTGCGCAAACTCTGTCCCGCGCCTGCGCATCCTGGTACCTCCTCCCGACCGGATATAACGGTCCGCGCGCGGCTCTTCGAACCGGAAGTGGAGAGGAACTGTCGCGGGGCGCGTCTGGCCTGACTCAACGCCCGGCAGTCTCTGCCGTTGCAGCCGCCCTCGGCGCTGCCGAGGCTTCCCGCAGTCGCCATGTCCGCCAGCGCCGTCTACGTGCTGGACTTGAAGGGCAAGGTACTGAAGGCTCCCCACCCTCCCCGTTGCCAGGCAACCAGTGGGTCCTCGTCCCTCGGGGACCCACCCTGTTGCTAGGTGACCGGCCAGTGAGCCCCACCCTGGCATTAAGCGTGGAGGTCGATAGGCCTCACCTGAAGGGCCCCACCCTGTTGCTAGGTAACCGGGCGGTGGTCTTCACTCCGCAATCACTGGTCTGTTGCTAGGTAACGCGGTGGGCTGCCACCGCCGCCGTTGCCAGGTAACCGGTGGCCTCATCCCCTTCCGATCAGTCCTGAGTCCCGAGCTTTGGCCTCCTTGGGAACCCCCCACCCCAATTTGGGGAGGACGGGCTGCAGCCGCCCTCAGAGTCCGGCCAAGCGCCGAGGGGCCGTGCGACCCTTGACCGAGGTAACTGGGCGTGGCGGGGACTTGTGCCCTCGGGCCAATCCCGCCTTCTGCGGGCGCAGCAGCTTCTGTTTAACCTGCGTGTTCTCCCTGTAGCAGTTTCTCTCTGTTCATCGTGACATTTAATTACGAGGGTTAGGGAGGTGAGTGGGGGGAGCGGCATTTTAGAAGGAAAAACTGAGGCACAAAGAGGTGAAGCAGCCTGCCCAAGGTCAAACCGGTCACAGAGAAGTTGCAGGTCTCCGAGTTCCACTTGGAGTCAACTGTCATTCAGTGATATTTGCAGAGTCTACTAAGCTCCAGGCATGCTTGTAAGTGGTGGGCTATTTTGGGGGGAGCACAATCAGTCAGTCCCTGTCCCATGAACTGACAGTCTGGTGGGGGAGATGGACATCAATCTCCTAATACAAATAAGCACAAGTAAATGTCGATCACAGTGGGGGAGCAATGAGCATCCCTGGGGTAGTGATAAAAGAGACTGCAAAGGGGACTGAGTCTGAGGGAGTTGGCATCAGTAGGACCAGGCATCTTCCCTAGGGTTGTCAGACAAGAGAACCTCTTACAGAAAAAAATGTTCAGGCCTTCAGAAGTGGGCTGTTGCCCTCCAAGCCCACCCCAGGTGGAAGACAGGGACACCTGGCCTCTTGCATGTGGGAGCAGCAGGAGCTGGCCCAGCAGTGTTAAACAAGCCCTGCATTCACGGGTGACAGAAGCGTGGGTGTTGGGTCCTAGGCGAGGTGGACGGGAGTTGGCTCAGAAGTTGAGGCTGAAGAGGTGAGGTGGCTGCCCCTTCCTGCCCCACTCCCAGAACTTTCCTCAAGTCCTTTGAGTGAGTGCCTGCCTTGGGTGCCACCAAAGTCAACAACTGGTGAGTCCTAGTGCTTCTTCCCCCAGCCTTCTCAGAAACAGGGAGGATGCCCTTCTTAGAGGTGCACCAGCAGGTGGGTGGGTACAGTGCTCCCTAGTCCTGGGGGCACATGTTCTTCCATCCTGTCCACCACATCTCCAGAGATGCCGCAGAAGGCCTGTCTCAGCTTGCTTGTTTCTTCAGCAAACCTTTCCTGAGTGCCTGGCACGCACCCAGTCCTGTGCCAACTCTGTGGAACTAAGCTGAGTGCAAAACCCATCTTGGCGTCGCAGCTCTGTGACTTCTGACAAATACATTATCTTCTCTGGGCCTCAGTTCCTCACTGGTTGGAAGAGGCCTTTATGGGGTTATTGTGTGGAAATGTGGGAAGCTTGGCCCTGCTGTGGTCCACAGTTTGCATTAGGCTCCACAGGCCCTCGGCTCTAGCAGGGGAGGCGCGTGGAAGCAAAGAGGTTACTGAGCAGTCGGATCCAGGCAGCTACAGGCAGGAACAAGGCCCCGGGTGATGCAGTTGCTCAACCTGGTATTTGGCTGTCAGAGGAGTTACAAAAGGCTCCCTGGCAGAAGTTAGCGCCGGAGCTGGTTTTGAGGTGACCAACTAGTGGTCAGGTGGAGAAGAGGTGTCCCAGTGAGTACAGAAGGTGACGGGCAGCCCACATGGGCTGGCAAATCACAAGTCTTGGTTAATGCCAGAGCCTGGAGGGTGGCACCAGGTGTTGAGAATGTCCCGATTGGAGAAGGGAACTGAAGGGACCCCTTCAATTCCAGGAGGAAGGAGTCATAATGAGGAGATTGTGGCCTGGGAGAAGCATGATCAGACTTGCCCCTGGGAAGCTCCCCTCCCTCCCTCTGCAACCAAGATGCCCCTCTCCCTCCCTCTGCAACCAAGACGCCCTTTATTCCACTCCCTGAGGACCTCCAGTTCCAAAAGTCGGCCTCCTGAGCAGACTGCACTGAATCAAAAATAATCGAGGAGCTCAGGACCACGTGTCTGCCTGCCAAGCAGAACCTCGGGTCCCTGAGGAGACCAGTGTGGCCACATCAGCTGGTAGCAAGCCCTCCCTGGACACTTCTGCATCTCTTGCTTCTTAGCAGCAGCTGACGCCACTAGCCACCAGTCATCACACCTCCCCCAACGTTAAGGATGTCACATTCTTGATGTTCCTTTTGTTGTCCGCCCCTCCCGCACAGCTCTGCCCTGGCTGCTCTCAGGCCTCAGTGTGCTCCCCATGCTGTCCCTCATGGCAGGTGGCTTTAATTTATGGCAGTGCCAGTGGCTCTCAGTTGTACTGCAGTCCTGCACTCACCTCTGCCTCTCTGACCATCACTGTCCGTCTCTATTGGCTCTGAGGCATGTTGGCCTCCAGGACACCGTGGCAATCCCAACCACTGCCCACTGGGCATTTCCCAAAGTGAACATCCTGTCACCTCCCATATTTGCTCTGGGTCCACTTCAATAAGCGGCACAGCCGTTCATCTATCCATCCAGTCGTCCCCACTAGAAAGGCATTGTTCTGACCCCTCCTCATCCCATGTTGACTCCATGCATGTTTACTGAGCATCTACTATAGGCAGGACCCTGGGTGCTGAGACACAGCCATGAAGGAGACAGGACTGGTTCCTGGTCCCTGGGAATGTCAGACATTAAAGGAAGGTGCAAATAAATATATGATGCAATGTGCACATGGGCACTGAGGACAGAGGGGCCAGGGTGGAGAGGATGGGACACGCTCTGTCAGCCAGGGCAGGCAGGCAGGACCCGTGGAGGAGATGCCGTCCGAGCTGAGGCTGGAGAATAGAGGAGGTCAGGCCTTTCTCAGCAGAGGGGGCTGCAAGTGCACAGGCCCTGAGGAGGAGCCGATGTGCGTTGCTCTGAGAGCCGGGGGTGGGACTGTGGGGGTTAGGGGCTTCGAGGAGCCTGACCCGTGGGTACCGTGGCCCGAGGTGATGGACGGAGGTTCATTCTCAGTACCAGGGAGGCTGGGGTAGGTGTCACTTTCAGCAGGAAACTGCTTCTGTTGAGGAGAAGCCTGTCACATTTTGTGAGGAAGGACCTGGGTTGGGGACAAGGGTGACAGCAAGGAGAGGGACTGTCACCTTAAGTGTTGCTCCCTCCTGCCTTTACCTCTCCTCTGGCCCCACAGCCCCAGCTCCGAGGCGGTCGTCACTCGGCCTGCCCACTCTGCCCAGACCCCCATGGGCTGCCCCCACCCACACTTCAGCCACGCTTGGTTCCCATCGCTCCTGTCCCTCAGGCCTTGATTTGAAGGTCATGCCCTCGGGAAGGCCCCCAATGCCCCCTAAGCACATGCCCTTGCCTTGGCTGCTACCATGCCCCCAGGCCCAGTACAGAGCCACCTTACAGGGGCACAGAGGCATAGTTTTTAAATTTTGGGTTTGTTTGCTGTGGTACTGGGGATTGAACAGGGGCACTCTGCCCGTCCTTTTTGTTAGTTTGAGGCAGGATCTCGCCAAGTTGCCTGGGCTGGCTTCGAACTTGCTGTCCTCCTGCCGCAGCCTCCCAAGTAGCTGGGATGACAGGTGTGTGCCGCGGTGCCCGCCAGCACGTGCTTACTGACTGCGTGAGCCCCTGGGCAGCCCTGGGGGGCAGGGAAGCAAACTGTGCCCCCTGTTTCCTTTGAGCACTCTGGGGACCCAGAGGCCCCCGTCCAGGCCAGCATCCCCCAGACTCTGGATCCCTGGAGAAGAGAGTGGACCGTGAGAAGCCAGGACAGCGGCTTTTAGCAGCAGAGCAGGCCCTGGAGCCCGCCGGGGCTAGGGTGCGGTCCTGACTGCTTCACTGCCGTGTGGCCTCAGGCAGGCAGCTTCGCCCTGAAGGGCATCCCGTCTGTCTCTGATGACCACGGGCCTGCCTTAGGGTGATGGCCAGGAGGACAGGTGGGAGTCCCCCGGCCGGGTCAGGGCCTTTCCCCAGAAGCCACAAAAGAGAGACCAGAGAGGCACCCCTCGCCCTCTCCTGCCGTCTCCTGCCCTCTCAGACTTTTTCTTGTCATTATTCCCTAAACAATATGGTGTGACAACCGTTTACGTAGCCTGCGTGTGGTCTCAGGTGTTGTGACCATCAGGAAACGGGCTGGAGTCTGCCGCAGCTGGGTGGAGGTTCCATGTGGGTGCTGGGCCGCTTGACACCAGGGGCTGGAGCAGATTCTGGTGTGCTGGTGGGGCAGGTCCTGGGGCCAGTCCCCTGCAGACACAGGGGGTGACTGGTGTGTTCCTTTCTGTTGCTGCTGGCTGTCTGCGGTGCGCATGGGCACAAATCTTCTCTCTGTTCCGCTGCTGAAGGCCGTGGCCGTAGCCTCCAGGTCGGGTGTGTCTAGTGCGGAGCTGCTGCAGGTGTTCTGCGACCCACAGTCCCGTTTCTCTGGGGTGGACGCCTACGGAAGGCGGCTCCTGCGGTAACTGTGGCTTGACTTTTCCAGACACTGTCAGACTTCCCATCGTGCTTGCTTCGTTTTTCAGCTCCGCCACATGTGGGCAGAGGGTCCTGATCCACAGGTGGGAGAGGAGGGGGCTCTCCTGGTCGGGCTGCATGTGTGATCTAGTAAACGGAACCTTCAGTAGCGAACAGGACCCCGACTCGGGCAGGAGAGCAGGTCGCATTAGCGGGGGATGCCTCCGTGAGGGCCCGTGCAGGGAGCTGCTTGGCCTGGTGTCTCTGAGCCAGCGCTTCGGACCTGGGCCTTCCCTCCAGAGCCCTCTCCTTGCCAAGAACCACCGTTAGTGGGGGCATCCTCACATTCACCTGGAGGGGGAAGTGGCCTCTGGTCTAGTTCCTGTCCCCAGGAGGACAGGACAGCTGGCACATCTCGCCCCTGCCTCAGGGCCCAGACTGCAGCACCCCAGGTGAAAGCTCCTGTCTGTCCTCTTCCTCCCCGACCGCAGGTGCTCATCTGTCGGAACTACCGTGGCGACGTGGACATGTCGGAGGTGGAGCACTTCATGCCCATCCTGATGGAGAAGGAGGAGGAGGGCATGCTGTCCCCCATCCTGGCCCACGGGGGTGTCCGCTTCATGTGGATCAAACACAACAACCTGTATCGTATCCCTTTCCTGGAGTCCTCCTGTGTGACACGGGAGTGTGTGTGTGTCGCCTACACGCCGTGCCCCCAGGGCTGGTCCAGTGCTGAGCAGGGTACACAGCCCTGTCCTTCCAGAGCTCCCTGCTGCCCAGGGAGATAGGCTAAGAACACAGCATGACAGGTGATGGGTGGGGAGGAGAGGGCAGGAGGGGGCCCAGGAAAGGAGGTGACATCCTGGAAGGGACCTGTAGGAAGGCCAGCATGCAGGGCAGGGGGCATAAGGAACACTGGGCCAGGTGAAGCTCCTGCAGCTGGAGCTGGGGGTGCAGAGCAGGAGCAAGGCTGGCGTGGTCAGCGGCTCTGCAGTCGGGTCTAGAAGAATGTCACCTAAATGTGGTGGGAACTCCTGGGAGGGCTTCAGGCACATCTGCATTTCTGGCTGCTGAGTGCACCCTTTTAGGGAAGAGCAGTGGCCACGAGGAGATGATGTCGAAGAGGCCAGGCCCGTGTCCACATGGGAGGGCAGTTGGCCTGAACCACAGAGGGCAGCAGCTACAGAGATGGGGAGAGATTTGCTCAGATCATGGAGTCTCCTTCCTGCCCTCCGGCCAAGCCAGACTGCCCATGGGGCCCAGCTGACCCTCCTGCTTCTTGGCCCAGGTCTCCAAGCACCTCTGGTACCCACACTGCTGCAGCAAGGCTCAGCTGTGCCGTAGCCAGCCCGTCTGGGCCCCTACAGCAGCTGAAGTGGCAGAGGCCGTCTCCTCCTCCCACAGTGCATGGGAGCAGCAGCCCCCTCTGTGGGGGCCGGGCCGGGGGCGGGTGAGCTGGTGCACATATGGCCCCCGATATGTTTGCAGGGACGTGGGAACTTGCCATGCAGGCGCGCTCCATGGGCCACCGCACGCCCAGAGCTTTGGGACCGTGGCCTCTGGCCTCCCTGCCACCTTCCCCCACTCTGCACTGCCAGGAGGCCAGCCTGCTGTGGGAGGGGGTGGCCCTCCTCTGGCCTCTGCTTAGACTTCGCCCTTCTCCAGCAGGCCAAGACGGCTCTGGAGGGTCTCTGGGCAGTCTGTAACTCAGGGAGTTGACCGTTCTCTGAAGCCACTTGGGTCTGGGCCGCACACACCCAGGTGTGGGGAGGGGCCAGGCACTGATGCCAGCTCAGCAGCAGCCATCAGACCAGTGTCCCTCTGGATCCCCACATTCCACACAGGGACAGCTAAGGAAGAGATAGGGCTCACCCCTCTGGGTGAGTGGACATCCTCCCACCCTAGCCTGGTCCCCAACTTTATTGTCTGGTGACAGTTTCCAGAATGAACCCAACTCTGAAGGCCAGGAAAGTCACCACTGCCCCCTCCCTGTGTCGCCCATTTCCTGACCTCTGTGCTGTGCGGGGAGGGTGGGAGTGAGGTGGACGTGGGCCCTGCCCTCCCTCCCTCCTTCCCAGAGCTCGTGCTTGGCACACCAGCCACCTAGCTCAGGCATGTCACAGACAGGGATTTCTGGGGTGCCACATGCAGGCCTTAGAGGGACCAACCTCCCTGGTGGCTCCAGGCCCATTCAGGAAAGAGGAACAGGAAGTGCCCAGCACCTGCTGGCCCTGTGGAGGCAGGGGCTGTTCCTGCAGGAGGGGAATCTGGGCCAGGCACCTTACACAGCAAGTCTGCGCTCAGGCCCCCATTAAACAGGGAGGGACGTTGAGGTTAGATCCGCTTCGGGGGCCACGCCCATTGCCATAGCTGGCAAGAGCCTAGCGGCAGAGCTAGCCCAGCCGTGTCCCAGGGGTCCTGGCCGGGAACCCCGACCCATCTTTGGAGGAGCAGGACTGGTCGGTCCTGTCCTGCTTTCTCTTCTTGGAAGAGGCCACCCCAGGCCACTTGTCATCTCTGTGATTCTCTGTGTCCTCAAGTGCTCCCTGGGGGCTGGTAACTGCTGTGTCCCAGGCCTGGCTGGAGCCCCGGGCCTGCTAACTCCCCTTGCCACAAGTAGATGGCAGGTGGTGTGACGGGGCGCGAGAGGCAGGGCCGCTGGGAACGCTCCTTAACCAGGCTCCGTGCAGTGGTCGCCACCTCCAAGAAGAACGCGTGCGTGTCTCTGGTGTTCTCCTTTCTTTACAAGGTGGTGCAGGTGAGCGTCCTTCAGGGGCTGAGGAGTGACTCTGCTCTCGCGTCCCCGTTTGTGGCCATCCCTAGGGAGTTCTGAAGCCAGAACTCTGGAAGTTGGAAGGGGCACCCTGCCTTCTTGCACTTGGGGTTCTCTGGCCTTTGTGACTTTCCCCCTGGTGAGGTCAGGAAGTGGACAGAGGAGGTGGGGCTGGGGCAGGGCGAGCCCTGAGCCGGAGGAATGATGGAGGGCCAGCTGGCAGTCGGGTTGGGGAGGTGGGTGACCCAGGCTCTGCTTAGACTCTTCAAGGCCCAGTTGCTTGGGGCCCACCTTGAGGGGTGGCTGACACATGCCGGGTGTCAGCACAATTAAACAGAGGTTCTGGGGAGGCCACAGGCCCGGTGGGGGATGTGGATCTAGGAGGGAGGAGAATGGAACTGTGGGTTGGCATCCAGGGCTTCTGGTCAGATGTTGGCGGGCGTGTGCCCAACCCCTGCTGGTTCCCCCTCACAGCCAGCCAGCGCTGTCCTGCCTGCCTTCTCCAGGCCGAGTGCTGCAGAGCACGTCACCAAGCCTGGGACGTGTGCGCAGGGCTGCTGGCTCTGCCTGGAGGTGGAGGAGTGTGCGGCCCCTTCACCCCGTCTCTCCTCCCAGCGCTCCTCCCGCCCCCACCCCGACACCACAGGTGTTCTCCGAGTACTTCAAGGAGCTGGAGGAGGAGAGCATCCGCGACAACTTCGTCATTATCTACGAGCTGCTGGATGAGCTCATGGACTTTGGCTACCCCCAGACCACGGACAGCAAGATCTTGCAGGAGTGAGTGGGTGGGGAGGGCCCCGTGGTCAGGTGGGGCCATGTCATGACATGCTGTCCTCAGGTTTGCAAGTGGGAGAAGCAGATGTATAACCCTGCTGTCCCCCTCACCTTCCCATCTCCAGCTGGACCTGAGCCTTATCTATTTGTTACTGGGGACTGAACCCAGGGTGCTTAACACTGAGCCTCATACCCAGCACTTTTCATTTTATATTCAGAGACAGGGTCTCACTGAGTAGCTTAGGGCCTCGCTAATTTGCTGAGGCTGGCTTTGAACTCTGGATCCTCCTGCCTCAGCCTCCCAAGCCGCTGGGATTACAGGCGTGCGCCACCGCGGCCAGTGTGGACATGGGTTTTAGATTGAGCTGTTCTGGGTGGCTTAGGGTCCTTTCTCCACAACATCCCTCATAATGTGACCATCATTTCCTGTTGTAGCCACATAAATGCCCTGAATCCCTTGCTCTCGGGAAGTCGCTGTCTTCGGTCTCACTTGCACAACAGGCTTCGACAGAGTCTTCCTTCTTTGGAGTTTTTTCCATCAAAAAACCAGTCAGTGTGGGTTCAGCATTTATTGGGCCAGGTGTTGTGGAGAGCACTTTCCCTCCTCTCAGTTCACAGTCCCGGGCACCAGTCTTCATTTCATAGGAAGCCAGGGGACACCCAGAGAAGCCTGTGTTCCCGACCATTGCACCTGTTGCTCTCCAGATGGGATCAGTCACCAGGGTGCCCCCGTAGGCTCAGTGCTGCTCAGTGCCCATCTCATAGGCTCTTCTGCTGGGTGCGGTGGCAAGCCTCTAACCCCGGCTACTCGGGAGGCTGAGGCAAGGATCGTGTGTTCAAAGCTGGCCTCAGCCCCTTATCGAGACCCTGTCTCAAAATAAAATAAAAAGTTTTTACAAAGGGCTGGGCCTTAGCTCAGTGGTAGCGAGCTCGCCCAGCGTGCACCAGGCCATGGGCCCCCAGCCCTGCAGTCACATGCATGCACTTGAACACACATCCCCGAAACACTGTCTCCTTGGCTCCCCGAAATAAGTGCTATTGGTTGTTTGTCGCTGGATTCTGTCAGCCTGCTGGACAGCACTCGGGGGGGTCCTGTCCTGGAGCCCACGCCAGGGAGGGGCTTCCATGTGGCTCAGGACCTCCTGCTTCCACCCTGCCCTGCCCAGATGGCCACCTGAAGCTTCAGTGCCAGTGTAGGTGACACCTCCTTGACTCTGGCCCCACAGGTACATCACTCAGGAAGGCCACAAGCTGGAAACAGGGGCCCCGCGGCCCCCAGCCACTGTCACCAACGCAGTATCTTGGCGGTCTGAAGGCATCAAGTACCGGAAGAATGAGGTGTTCTTGGACGTCATCGAGTCTGTGAACCTCTTGGTAGGCTTCCTTCTTCCTTGCTTTTATTTAAAAGTATATATATATTTTTTAGTTGGACGAAATATTTTTATGTGGGGCTGAGGCTTGAACCCAGGGCCTCCCATGTGCTAGGCAAGTGCTCTACCGCTGAGCCACTACCCCAGGTTTCTTCCTTGCTTTTTAAAAAATGCTGTTGAGTGCTCCATCCTAGGAAAAAACTAATTTTAATTTTAATATTGGCAAAGCCCTAAGAAACACGGAGGTTGCGATAATCGGCAGTCAGCAGTGTTTCCTGCTGCTCAGGAAACAGGCCGTGTTAGGCGGAGAGCGCTTGTTCTGACACTCGGTACGTGCAGGTTGTTTAAAAGAAAGAAAGTGTAAAAGCTGAAGTTCCTGTCATCAGGATGACCTCCTCCCTGAAGGACTGTCATTGTCGCTCCTCGGACCTCATGTCGGCTGTCCAAAGGGTGTTGTTTTCCAGGGTGTGGAGAGCGTGCGGGTGGTTCTCCAGGTGCTGCCTTGGTTTGGAGGGTCTGGGCTGGGTTCTGGTCCACTGTCTGGTGCCTGGCTTCGTTTGTTTTCAGTGCTGGGGGGACCAGGGCCTCCAGCATGCTGGGCTGATGCTCTGCCACACCCCACCCCGTCTGGTTTGTTCCTTTAATTTGCTTTTTAGCTACTGAGTAAAGTTGCTCGTTGTGCCTGTGAGTGTCAGCCCCCATTCATACCTGTGCACTCGTCCCCAGCCAGGGTGGAGACCCAAAATGTCCATCCCTCGTGTTGCCCCCTTGTAGCCCACTCCCTTCGTCCCCATCTGTGCTCAGTTACTGTTGCATGGTCTTTGAGATTGTCACCTGGATGGCATCGTCCGGCAGTGCAGCTGTCAGGGGGTGTGAGGAGCCACACGTCGCGTTGTCCGTGCAGTGCCTCTCGGGGGTCCAGGTTCTGTGTGCCCACCGCTGTTTCCTCTCTGTGCCCTTCTCTTTGTTTCACATTCCGAATGAACCACAGTGTGATTCTCCATTCATTGAAGGACATTTGGGTCATTTTCCAGTTTTTGGCAATAAATGAGTAGTGTTGCTGTGTGTCGTGTTCGGGGTCGTGTGTGGACATGAGTTTTCATTTCTCTAGGGTAAATACCCAGGAGTGGGATGGCTGGGTCACACGGTAAGTGTATGTTTAACTTTATAATAAACCACCGAACTCCCCTTTGCACGCTCACCAGCAATGGGTGGGACTCTGGTGGCTGCGCCCCCGTGGTCATTTTTACTTTGCGCACCCCCATTCTAGGGCATAGGGAGCGTTCTCTCGGCAGAGTGCCGGTCTGTGTTTCCCCAGGGCTCCATGACGCGCAACATGCCTTTTTGTGTTTCCTTCTCACCCCTGAACCCTCTGTGGAGCAATGTCTCTCTGTGTCTCTGAGCACCTTACAATGGGATTGCTGGTTTTCCTAGTGTTGAGTTTACAGGTTCTTTATATCCCAGATACAAGTCTTGGTCAGGTAGTCGGATCAGCAAGTATTTTCTTCTCGTCTATAACTTGCCTTTTTATTCTCTTAGCAGTATTTGGCAAAAGTTTTTAATGTTGGTGAAATCCAAGTATCAAAAGCATTTTTTATTGCACTTTGGGTGTCGAGTCTGACTCATTGCCAACCCAAGTTCAGGCCAGCCTTCTTCTGCATGTCTTCTCAAGGCTCTATAGATTGTATTCAGAGCCACAGTCCATTTTGAGTTGGATTTTATATAAGGTGGGAGGTTTTATATCCAGGTTTCTTTTTGCATATACAATAATTTTTTGCAGTTGTTCCAACACTGTTTTTCTTTTTTAGAAGAGTGCCCTTTCTCTATTGAATTGCTTTCCCACTTTTGTCAAAATCAACCTCACTCTGTGGCCTGTCTTCTCTTCCAGTGTCTGTGTAGCTGCTGTGTCTGCATATTCCACTGTCCGTACTGTGTCCGTCTCTTCCGTTGGACTGTGTGGCCTTCTATCCCTACATCACTAACACACCGTTTTGATTGTTGTAATTTTATAAGAAGTCTGAAAATCAGTATGATTTTATGATTTATTCAAAATAGTATTATTTTGTGTGTGTGTCCCGGGGATTGAACCCAGGGTGCTTAACCACTGAGCCATATCCCCAGCCTTTTTTTTTTTTTTAATTTTGAGACAACATTCTTCATTTTAAAATATTTTATTCTAGTTCCTTTATATAAAATTTTGCAGTCAGCTTATCTATTTCTACAAAAGTTCTGCAGAGGTTGTGACTGGTGTTTTGTTAACTCTATAGGTCAATTTGTTGAGATTCGATATATTTACTAAATTAAGCCTCCCAATCCATGAACAGAGAGGGAGAGAGGAAGAGAGAGAGTGTGTGGGTGTGCGCGTGAGAAAGGAAGAGAGATTGGATTTCTGTCATCAGTGTTGTGTAGTTTTTACTATGACCGCAGTGTTAGAGTTATTCCTAAGCATTGCATTTTTTCAAGTGATTTATTGACTATGAACGATAAAAGCCCTCTGTAGGTGAGAAGGCGTTACTTTTCCTGATTCCTGAACTCTCACGAGTGTGGGTTTAGCGGGGCGGGCACTGGAGAGTTTATGGTCCCCTTATTTTCATTCATCTTGGTTTCTTTGTTCGAGGGGGTAGGTAATAGGGATTGAACTCAGGGCCCTCGACCACTGCGCACATCCAGCCCTATTTCGTATTTTATTTAGAGACAGGGCCTCACTGAGTTGCTTAGCTCCTTGCTTTTTGAGGAGGCTGGCTTTGGACTCTCCATCCTCCTTCCTTAGCCTCCCTGCTGCTGGGATTATGGGATTATGGGTGTGTGCCACTGCACAGCTTCATCTCTGGATTAGAATAAGATGTCAGGTGTCAGCAAGAATTTCATCTTTTGAAGCTGTTATAAGTTATATATTTTAATTTAAATTTCCAACTGGACATCACCAGGGTTTAGGAATGAGACATTTGTTTGCTAACCAGGTCCTGCAACCTTGCTAAACCCACTTATTCTTTTTTTTTTTAAGTTGTAGATGGACACAATACTTTCATTTATTTTTATGTGGTGCTGAGGATCGAACCCAGTGCCTCACACGTGCGAGGCAAGCACTTTACCAACAAGCCACAACCCCAGTGCCCTAAACTCACTTATTCTTGAAGTGCTTTTTGAATTCCTTGGGACTTTCTACATAGATGTATTGGCCATAGACAGGGACAGTTTTATTTCTTCCTTTTAAATATTTATGCCTTTTATCTCTTTTCTTGACCTATTACCTCATTAAAACTTTCAGGGCAGTATTGACTGTGAGTGTTGAGAGCAGACCTTCTTTCCCTGTTCCTGAAAGGAAAGTATTCAGTCTTTCACTGCTAACTAGGAAGGCAGCTGTAGGATTATCGTAGATGTCCTGTTTTCATGTTAGAAGTTCCCTTTTATTGCTAATTTGCTGCAAGATCTTTATCATGAATAAGTGTTGTGTTTGTTAAATGCTTTTTCTGTGTGAATTGTTGTGAGCATGGGGGTTTCCTTTTTTAGATTTTTGTTTGATGTTTGTTTGCTCGGTTTTTGCCATGGTAGGGCCAGAGCCCAGGACCTCCCGAGCTAGGCAGGCTCTCACCAGCCTCACCCCACCCAAGATGTTAACATGGTGATTTCCGCCAGCTGCTTTCTGATGATTGAACCAGGCTTGCATTCCTGGAATAGATCCAGTTGGTCTTGGTGTGCTATTTTTTATCTGCCTAATATTGTATGGAGAGTTAGGGCTCTGTATTCATAACAAAGTCTGGTTTGTATTTCTCGTTTTGTAATACTTTGGTTTGGTTTGGTATCAAGGTAGTGATGTCCTTTTAAAATGATCTGGGAAGTATTTCCTCCTCTTTTCTGAAAGAGATTATATAGAATTGGTGCTAATTATTTAAACATTTGTTAAAATTCACCAGTGAAACTATGAAACTAAGCAGTGATTTTTTTCAGAATGTTTTTAACTACAAATTTCAACTTTTTATTTCATTACTATTTTTCTATTTTAGAGCTTGGTCCATGTCCCATGACTTGTTGAGTGGTGTTTATAGCAATCCTTTAGGTCTTTAATGTCTGAAAGTCTATGCTGGTAGTTCCTCTTCATTCCCCGTACTGATCATTTGTGTTTTCTCTCCTTTTTCTTTATCAGTTTTGTGAGGTGTTTACCTATTTTATTGATCTTTACAAAGAATCAGCTTTTGATTTCATTGATTTTCCCCCCCATTTTTCTGTTTTTTTCTATTTTATTTTTGCATCATCCCTACTATTTCCTTCCCCTTGATGAAGATTTCTCTTCTCTTTCTAGTTACTTAGGTAAAGCTGTAGATAGGAGTTTGAAACTTTTCTTCCTGTCTGAAGTAAACCCTTAATGCTGTAATTTTCAAATCATTGTTATTTAAAACATCTCACAGTCAATATGTTGGGGTTTTATTTTTGTTCGAAAATACCTTCAAATTTCCTTGAGACTTTCCTTGTGACAATGGGTTATGTTTAAATTTCTGAAGGTTTGCAGATTTTTGTCATCCTTTGTCATAGATATTTAACTCCATTGTTGTCTGAGGACATTCCTTGAATAATTTCAGTTATTTAAAATGTGTTAGGTCTGTTTTAAGGACCCAAGAATGCTCTCTCCTGGTGAGAGCTCCATGTGTGCAGCCAAGGAGTGTGTCCCCTGCTGTTGCTGGGTGGCGTGTGCTGTGTGGGCCCGTTAGATCCAGCTGATCGATGGTGTTGTTCAGTTATTCCAGCAGTTTTGGCAGTGCTCTGCTGCTTGTCACCCTTCACTGACAGAAGGGATAGGGTGCCTGCCTTTATGGTGGCTGTGTGTCTTTGCCACCCTGCTCTTGGGCACTAACGCATTTAGGCTTCTCATGTCTTCTTGATGAACTGAACCCTTTATTATTATGCCACGTCCTTCTTCATTTCTGATAAGTGTTCTGCTCTGAAGTCCACTTTGCTATCAACACTGTCACCCCAGGGTTTTGCTTTGTTTGGTTGGAGGTGCTGGGAGTGGAACCCGTGGCCGGGCAGATGGTTAGGCCCCAGCCCCTCTGGTGCTCTTGTGATTAGTTTTTTCACGGTGTACATTTTTTACTTTTTCTCTCATCCCTTTACTTTAAGCCTTATACACAAAATGACCATCAATTTTTAAAGATCTGATGATCTTTTTTTTTTTTTTGATAAAAATGACTAGTTGCCCAGGCTATCTTGAATTTATTTTATCTTCTTGCCTCAGCTTCCTGAGTAGTTAGGATTCCAGACTTGTGCCACCGTGCCCAGCTGTAGTCTGTATCTTTTCATTGCATGTGTTTAGGCCATTCATACTTTTTGTGACTGAATTTGGACTGAGGTCTACCATTTTGTCATTTTTTTCCTGTTCTCTGTTTACAATAGTCATTCACCACATAATGACATCTTGGTCAACGATGGACTACATATTGATGGTGGTCCGATAAGGTTTTAAAGGAACTGAATATTTCCTGTGACCGGGTGATGTCATAGCTGTCATGGCACGTGTTGGTGATGCTGGTGTAAACACACCTACTGTGGTACCAGTCATATAAAAAAGTACAGCACATACAGCTGTGTGCAGTGTGTAATGCTTATTAGTGATAATGAATGACTGGGTTATTGGTGCACGTATTTACCATGCCACTCTGTTTATCACCTTTTCCAAGAGTCCTCCTTTTAGTTTTTTGTTTTTTTTTTTTTGCCATAAAACTGTTGTGTGTGATCGCAGCAGCAGCCTCGTACATCTTGTGTTACCAGTATCTCTGGATTGCACCGAGAGGCCGTGTCTAGTGATTGACTTGTGACCTCGATACATCTAGGTCCGTATGAGTGTACTTAGGATGTTGGCACAGTGACAAAGTCACCTAATGAGAACATAGCCTGGTCATTAAACACATGTGACTGTACTTGTGATTTCAGAGTTACTTGGAATCAACCTCCTACACTCCTTTGGTCTGTGTGAACACTGCTACCCCTGGATGGTAGAGTTGTCCCGTTTGTTACGTCTGCGTATGTGGAAAAGCCCACCAGACACCTGAACTCCTTTCTCCACTGTGAGACCCACTGCCACCCGAGAGGAGCGCAGTCCCTATAGTTACCCAGGTGCTCACCAGTCCTCTGGCATCATTTTCCTTCCATCTATGGTGTTTCTCTTAGCGATTTTTATAGTTCAGGTCGGTGGGACACCAGTGTCCCTGGTTTCTCCTTCATCTGGGAGCGTCTTCACATTCTGCCTTTGTTCCTGAAGGATCTTTTCAGTGGACGCACAACTCTGGCTCAACAATTTTCCCTCTCACATTCCTGTTCCTGGTGAGGCGTCCCAAGTCGCTCAGGTCCTTGTCCTCCTAGGGTCATGTGTCGTTTTGCTCTGGCTGCTCTCCCAGTCTTTCTTTGACTTTAGTTTTCAACAGTGAGGTTTTATTTTTCCTGCTGCTAGTGATGCAATCCAGGGCCTCTTGCATGCTACTCGAGCACTGTACCGTCGAGCCACGTCTGCGGCCTGCCGCATTTAGACTTCAGACATCAGGTGTGGACGTCTGTGCGTTCCTATTTGGAGTTTATTCCCCCGTCTTTCCCCCGCGGTACTGGGTACTGAAGCCAGGCCCTCCCCACGTGCCGGCCGGTGTTTTGCTACTGCGCTCGGCCCAGCCCTTCACTCACTTCCTGAGTCGTAGGTCTAGTCTCTCACCAAGCTCAGGAAGTCTTCGCCACGACGTCCTCAGGTGTGTTTTTATTTCACTCCATTTCCTTCTGGACTCCAGTGCCACGGGAACGTCAGACTTCTGTTACTGTCCTGTGGGTCCCCCAAACTCTGTCCTTCCCATCCTCTCCCCATTGTACCCACTGGATCATTTCTGTTGATCTGTCTTCCGCTTCACAAGTTCACTGACCCTTTCCTGTGCTGCCTCCTTTCTGCTTTTAATTTTTATTTTAGTTAGTGTATTTTTTACTTCTAAAGTTTCACCATTTAATTTTTCTATGTGTCATCTTTTCTTTGCCGAGACTTCCTATTCAGTATTGGTCACAAGCATGTTCATGATTATAAGGTGCCTGTTTAAAGTCCCTGTCAGATAATCCTGACATCTGTGTGTCAGCAGTGACATCCATAGATGGCATATTTACCACGCAGGTTGAAATTGTCATGGCCTCCATGTGCTGCGTAATTATGAGTCATATCCTGAACTCTAAGTTACTGCGTGATGAGATTCTAGGTCTTATTTAAATAATATGGAAAATGTTGGTGCTTTTGTTTTATCCAACAGTTGATCTGGTTTTGTCCAGGCCACAAATTCCGGCCCAGTGCTGTGAGCTGAGTCTCAGTTCAGTTTCCCAAGCCTCGGGCCCATTTACTTTTAGCTGAGCGTGCACTGCCCAGTGGTCATTCTGAGGCCTGGGTGGTCAGATTGGCTCTGAGTGGGGGGCGAGTCATACGGCACGAGGATCACACTCTCATGCAAACTCTGGCGTGCTCTGGAGACACGACTTCCCGGTGTCTTTCCTCAGTCCCTCTCTGCACTCTATCCAGCCTGTTCCCTTTCCCCTGACCGAGCCCGGGGCTCCAGCTGGCCACTGTGGTGTTCACCAGCGGGCCTCACACAGGTGGGGACAGGGAAGAGCACAGGTTGCCCATCCTCCTGGAGCAGCAGCCAGCATCACGGGATGGCCTGGGCCCGGGACATGAGAGAACAGAACTGTTCCCCTTCCAGCCCCGAGTGAGCCGAGGCCCTCCAGTGCCGTCTGCCCACAGTGCTCACTTCCTCCAGGGCCTCATGTCCAGGGCCGGCCATGGCCGTCAGTACGCAATGAGGCTGGCAGGGCTGATGGGAGCTGCCGCCCTCCTGCAGCACCCCCAGCCTGGCCTGGCATGGCCTGCTGATCTGTCATGTGGGCCCAGAGTGAGTCCCTCTGGCCGTCACAGTAGGGCATGGGACAGCTCCCTCACTGGGTCGGGACTTCCAGAGGGTGGGGTCTCCAGGCCTGGAGCTGCCCGGGAGGGGGCTCCTCTAGAAGATGGTTCCACAGCTCTTGCTGCGACTCTGTGGGCCGAGACGGTGACCTCGTTAACCACCGTCCCCTTCTGCCTGGGAGCCCTCGTCTGAATTGTTGGAACCCAGCACATGGCTCTGGGGTCCTCTGGGGTGGAAAAGCAAATCTAGGGGTGCAGCTTAGAGCTAAGGGGGACAGCACCCAGCCATAGTGCACTGCTGCGTGTGGCTCTGCCCAGGATCCCGCTCCTTCACAAAGGTCACCACAGGGGCCCTGTGAGAGCGTCACCTTCCTCAGTCTGACTGCCGGGTCAACGTTCGTCTCCAGATTCCTGTCGTGTGGATGGAGCAGGGGACCTTACAGCCAGTCCCCCTTGGCAGACATCTATCTGACCTATGCCCTGTGGAGGGCACTGGCTTTGGGTGGCCGGGCAGCCTCGGCTAAGGCACTTGGCCCGACAGCTGCCCTGAGGCGGAGACCGGCCTCGTGGGCTGGGAGGCCTCCTGGCTGCGCTGCCTGGGCTTGTGGGGCCTGCAGTGTGTGTCCCCCTGGTCCTAGCAGGGGGCTGGACAGAGCCCCTCGAGCCCAGAGCTCTCAGCCCGGCGTGGGTTGGGAGTGGGGTCTGCACCTGGGCTTGCCCCCGCCAGGGCTCAGGAGGGGGAGCGTGGAGACGAGAGGGGTGCCGAGAAGGAAGCCGTGGGGGGCCGCCACGTGGTGGGGACACTGGCAGGCAGGGCCCTTCACACCGGCCGCCGTCTCCAGGTCAGTGCCAACGGCAACGTCCTGCGCAGTGAGATCGTGGGCTCCATCAAGATGCGGGTCTTCCTCTCGGGAATGCCGGAGCTGCGCCTGGGCCTCAACGACAAGGTCCTCTTCGACAACACGGGCCGTGAGTACCAGGCCGAGCGGGGGCGGGCGGCGGTGGCCCACAGCGGCCAGGGCCCACAGACTGTGGGCCTCACCCAGGGCAGGCTTCACGGGGCTGCTCACCGTGGGAGAGAGGCTGGCTGGAGCACGTGGCCTGGGGCATCTCACAGGGCTCACAGGATGGCGCAGGAGACGCCAGAGTGGAAATCCCAGAGTCAGGTCCCAGGCCACCCAGGGCTGGGGAAAACCAGGGAGCACTGTAAATGTCAGCGCGAAGCCTCGGCCCCCTGCACCGTCAGGCCAGGTCTCTCCCCTGGGCCGTGGGCAGTCACAGGAAGTGGAAGTGACCTGCAGCACTTCCTACGGTGGCCCAGGACGGTCTCTCCCGGGCATTATTAGCCCAGGAGGATGGCTGGGCAGGGCCACCCCTGTCCCTTAGTGAGGTGGGAAACAGGTTCCAGCAGGAGGGCACGGTGGGGCCTGGCCCTTTGAGGAGCCACCGATCATTAGCAAGTGTCCGGAGAAGCCCGCTGCCAGCCCTGCCCTGGCTGCTGGGACTCGGCATCAACCAGGCCCAGCAGCCCTGTCCCCAGGAGCACAGTAGGCACTCGGCATCAGGTGCCACCAGGGAGGCGAGGGTCAGCAGGGGTGTCGGGGGGGGGGGGGCCAGGGCTCACCCTCCCTCCCTCCCTCCCTCAGGGGGCAAGAGCAAATCTGTGGAGCTGGAGGACGTGAAGTTCCACCAGTGCGTGCGCCTTTCGCGCTTCGAGAACGACCGCACCATCTCCTTCATCCCGCCAGACGGCGAGTTCGAGCTCATGTCCTACCGCCTCAACACCCACGTGAGTGCCGGCCACCGCCCTGTGCAGGAGGCCCCCTGCTCCTGTCCCCAGGGGTGTCTCCCTCCACGAGGTGGCCCCAGGGCAGCCATGGTGTCTGGCCCCACCCCCACTCCATGGGTAGCGTCTGCTCCAAGGAGACCGAGTCCTCGGGCCTGAGCTCCCTGAGGAGGCAGGACGGAGCCCCTCCCCGGGCCAGGTGTGTGGCCCCTGCCGCCCCCTTCTCCAGGCAGCACTCCGCTTGCGCTTCCCAACTTCTCCCAGGGCCCTGGGCCCCGAGACCCCTCCCTGGAGATGGCCTGGGCCTCCCCCTCCCACCCGAGGCTCTTATGAGACAGGACCCGCTCAGTGCGTCCCCTCCCCCAGGTCAAGCCCTTGATCTGGATCGAGTCTGTGATCGAGAAGCACTCCCACAGCCGCATCGAGTACATGATCAAGGTCAGCGGGAGCCGGGCAGGGCCAGCGGCGTGCCGCCCACCGAGGGTCTTCCAGTGGCCCTGGCCCATCCGTGGCCTCGGGCATTGGCTTCCAGGAGGGCCGGGTGTCACGGGGCTGCCATCTGTGCTGCCTCAGTGTGGGCTCAGCTGGGGGGTGGCCAGGCACAGGAAAGAGACGCCACCCAGGGCTCCCTCAGATGGCGCCACTTCCTTGGAGGGGCCTGTGGCCAGGCACAGGGGGGCTCCCCGGAGCGGCTGCCTGCCAGGTGGACACTCACCTCTCCACGACACTCCAGCCCACGCCAGGCTGGGGCCACCGACATTGTCCTAGAAGGCCAGGCCAGGGGGAGATCTGGGAAGCCACGGAGGCTTGGGGGACAGGCAGGAGACACCCGACTTCAGAAGCCAGGCTCAGGGGGCGTTGAGGGTCGGGGAGGGCGGGGAAGTGCCTGGAGATGCCAGGGCTCGTGGTTGGGGAGCAGATCTACGGGCCAGGCTGAGGGGCTGGGGCCTGGTGGCCCTGGGTGGCTGAGCTGGGCCACCTCACCTTCACCCTCCCAAACCTTGAGCCACGTCAACCCCCTCTGCAGGCCAAGAGCCAGTTCAAGCGGCGGTCCACTGCCAACAACGTGGAGATCCACATCCCCGTGCCCAACGATGCCGACTCGCCCAAGTTCAAGACCACGGTGGGCAGCGTCAAGTGGGTCCCCGAGAACAGCGAGATCGTGTGGTCCATCAAGTCCTTTCCAGTGAGTACCCCCCCCCAGGAGGTCAGGAAGGCGGGGGGCTCTGGGGCTGTTGAAGGTCCTAGGTGACACCAGCTCTTTGTCTGTTGCTGCTCCCCCTCTCTGGATCCGGGGGCCCAGCTACAGCTTGGAAGTGCCTTCGGGAAACAGGAAGGGCACCCCCTGGCTCCTCCTCTCAGATGGTGTTGCCCTCCAGCCCCAGTTTTTGTATCTGCACTTACTTATTGGGGTCACCCCACTGCAGGCCCCTGTGTTGTTTATGATCTTTGGCTTTAGAGACACTTGAGCGGTTAACCTTGTGCTTGTGTCATCCTGTGTCCTGGGAGTGTGGCTTCAGGGAAGGTGGGTCACAGCCTGCAGCAATTCCCCAGGGAGGGCAGCAGCAGAGTTGCTGTCAAGCTTTCAGACTTCTAAGCAGAGAGAGGGGACTGTGGCTGTGCCACTGTGACTTGCTCTTCTCCTGTTATCAGCAGTGCTTTTCTTGTGCCTAAGGGCCATTTGTATTTCTTTTTCTGGAAACTAGCTGTCTCTTGCTCAATTTTTTTGGCAGGTCTGGTCCTTTTCTTGGTTTGCAAGTGCTCTTTACATATAGGCTGGATGGGGACCTTTTCATTGGTGTAAGTGGTGTGTGGTTCACTTTGGACTTGGTTTCTGGCATCTTCTGCTGATTGTGTCCTTGTTTCATTGTTAACATTGTGGTTTAACATTGTCACGTGTCTGTCTTTTCCTTGTGTTGTGTCTGGATTATAAGTCATGCTTTGGAAGCCTCCCGTTCCCAACACAGAGGAATTCACCCACGTTTGACTCCAGAGCCCGTCGGTGGCATGTCTGGGTCCCCTGGGAGCTCGGCCTGGTACACGGGAGGAGACACAGAGCCCGCGTTCTTTGTCCAGAGGTCCATTCAGGTTCCTTTCGTCATTTACTAAAGAGTCTGTCTTCCCACGGTTTGAGATGCCCTGTTCACCAGGTCCAGATTTTCACGTGGCAGTGGGTCTATTTCTGAACTTCCTCTAGTCTGTCCATCCGTGCAGGGAGGCGCTGTCTGAACCAGCGCTTCACTCTGTTTTCACATCTGGCAAGCTGCCCGCCTGATGGCCCCACACCCTGGGCGCTTCCCTCCACTGACCTCCCGGCAGCCTTCGCGGGCTTCCTTTTCCTCCCAAGCATTGGAACCTGCGGGTCTGCACGAGGCTGCTGTTAATGGGGAAGAGTAACGCCTCGATGAGGCCGAGCTGTCCTGTCCCCGAGCCACGTGGGCCTGTTTTAGTTTGGTTTTTGATACCAGGGATTGAACTTGGGGGCGCTCGGCCACTGAGCCACATCCCCAGCCCTATTTTGTATTTTATCTAGAGCCAGGGCGTCACTGAGTGGCTTAGGGCCTCAATTTTGCTGAGGCTGGCTTTGAACCCTCGATCCTCCTGCCTCAGCCTCCCAGCTGCTGGGACTACAGGTGTGAGCCACCGCACATGGCTTCCTATATTTCTTGTTTTGTGTATTTTTGACTACCTTTTTTTTTGGAGGGGGGGGTAAGGTTACCTAGTGGTTTATCTGTTTATTTTTTTTTTCCAGATTTGTTTTTGGACTTTCTTTGTTGTTTATTTTCCTTTCCTATTTTTTAAGTCTTTAAATTAATTTTATTTTATCTCATTTTTTGCATTCCTGGGGGGGACCAGGAATGGCCCACACTCTCCCACTGAGCTCCATCCCCAGCCCCGAGTCTTTTTGTCTGAGTCCCATGTTCAATTCACTTATTTTTGTTTTAAAGCTTGTTTTATACAGGTGTCTACGCTGTGATTCTGGCTTGCAATACTTTACATTATTTTCTAAAATAATGTCTTCAGATAGAGGTGGTTTTGTCTTCTAAACTTCCTGACGCAGGCGGAGGGAGGCTTCTCTTCCCGTGTCCCCGCCCTGTAGGTGGAGGTGCGCAGTGAGCCCTGTGCTGTCCTTTATGGACTGAGGGAAGAGGAGAGGGTCTCGTCCACAGCCCCCAGCGCAGCGCCGTCCCCTGGACGAGGGCCGGGGCCCCAGCTGGTGCCTTCCTGGGGCAGGTGCCCGTCCCGTGCCCTCTGCTCTGTGGAAGTGGCTGCCGCGCCGTTAGGTTTGCAGGAACTGCTTTGTCTTCCCTGGGAGTCCAGGCCTGGGGCCGGGCAGTGGTGGCCTGTCCCCCTCTGCAGGGAGCGTTCTTGCCCAGGTCCCTGCTGTGACATCAGTGGCCTCCTCTTCCTCTCGTGGCTTCTCGTTCTGGCTTGAGTCAGTCCGCAGTCCTCCCCACCGAGGGGGGAGGAAGCGGGGAACCCGCCGTTTTGGGGGCCCCTTCCCAGTGTCCCCTTTCCTGCCTGCTCCCTTTGGTCCCAGGGCACAGTGTGGGTGTGGGTCTGATTGGGCCGGTGGCATCCAGGCGACAGGTGGGCTCCCCTCCTGCAGCTGCTGTCCGTTGCGGCTGTCCAGCTGCCTCCTGCTTCCTGGCCGCACTTGGCACTCGGGCCGCTGTCTCCCTGGCCTGGGGGGACGGGCAGACGTCTAGGAGGGAGCTGAGGCTTGAGGACGCGCCCCCTCTGGGGCTGAACAGGCAGCGACCCCTGCTGAGCCTTGGTCAGGCCTCTGGGGACCCAAGACTGTGGTGTCCCAGTGTGGCCAGGGCAAGGAGAGGGTCATGCCGGCCCCCCTCTGGAGTCGCTGCTCACTCCTGCGCCTGAGGCTGCTGCCCCCCACCCTTGGGGAGCAGGACCTGGGCCAGCCCTCGGTCAGCACTGTCCCTGGGGTCCTGCTTGTCACCTCTCCCTGTCCACAGGCTTCTTGACTTGTCCCTTTCCCATTGTGCCCTGATGTTGGGCACATGGCTGTCCCTTAGACCTCAGGCTGGCAGGTGGCCTGTCCCCCAGCCCCTGCCAGTGCCTTCTGCACAGTCCCCTGCTCCCCCCAAGGCCACGCTGTCTTGGTGGCCTCCGTGGCCACTCGTCTCCTCTTCCTGAACCTTCTGAAGCCATTTTCCTTCTGAGAACTCACTGCCTTTCCTCAGAGTGGCTCTGGCTGCCCACTAGGGCCCGTGGGGCAGACATCAGGCATGGAGGACAGGCCGGCAGGGAAAGTGGGGCACTGGGCAACCCGAGCAGACAGGCAGGGTCCCCGGGCCAGTGCAGCATGGGCTGCTGTGATGGCGCTGGCTGACTGTCCCCCCTGCCCAGGGCGGCAAGGAGTACCTGATGCGGGCCCACTTCGGCCTGCCCAGCGTGGAGGCCGAGGACAAGGAGGGCAAGCCCCCCATCAGCGTCAAGTTCGAGATCCCCTACTTCACTACCTCAGGCATCCAGGTACGTAGGCCGCAGCGGGGCCGCGGGGACTAGGTGTCGGCGAGCACAGGCCACACGCAGTGGACTTGGCATGACCAGCGGGAGAGGGCTGCCGCTCAGCCTGCCACGGGCACAGGGGAGCAGCAGGCTCTGCTCCCCGGGCCCAGCCCCACCAGGGAGAGGCCTGCACCCCGCCCTGCAGCGCGTAGCATGGCAGGCTCCCCTCAGAAAGTGCACGGGCAGCTGAGGGTCATGAAGTGTCTGGGCGGCCTCTTGTCCAGGAGGCAGCTGCCGGTGCACAGCCTGGCTCTGGGCCTCCTGCACCCAGGGCTCCGACGCTCACCTCGGCCTCCTGGGGCCCGTGTTGCCCCCCTCACGGCCTCCCCACCAGCGGGAGGAGGGTCGGGGCGCGAGGAGAGGGCCAGGCATATACTCAGCTCTGGTCCCGTGTCCCAGGTGCGCTACCTGAAGATCATCGAGAAGAGCGGCTACCAGGCGCTGCCCTGGGTCCGCTACATCACCCAGAATGGAGGTGAGCGCGCCCTGCCTGGGGGTGCCGAGGGGTCGCCAGGCAGCCCCGGGTGGGGGGGGCCCTGGAGACGGAGCCGAGGGTGGACGCCTCCCTCTTGTCTCCTAGATTACCAGCTCCGGACCCAGTGAGGGGCCACCGCAGCCAACACCCCGGCCCTGCCGGCTCGGGGTTCCTGGTGGGAGCACCGGGTTGTACCTGCCAAGCCCGCCAGATGAGGAGGGCCACCCCCCAGACCCTGGCCGCCACCCCGGCCTCTGCCCAGGGACCTCCCTCCTTCTGCAGGCCACCTGCTCTGCCATGGACACTCACCTCGGAAGACCTTTTCCCAAAGAGTCTGGCTCCTCAGGAGTCCTCTCTCTTTGTCCCCTGAAGTCCAGGGAAGGACGTGAGGTCGCCCCGCTAGAGGTACACGACAGCCTCCGTGCTGTCCCGCCCCAGCTGCCCGCGGCTCCGCTCCCTGCCTCCCAGGGCAGCGCCCACCTCGCTCGGCAGCAGGGACATGGTTTCGTTGCCGTTTTGTTGAAGACGTTGTTTGTCGCTGTTCCCGGAGCTCGGCTTTGTGCGTTTCTTGCTGCTCCTGTGCCCGCCGTCCTCAGGGCAGCTCTCCGGGGCGGCCTCGCCACCGCCCGCGGCCCCCTCCCATGATGGCGGTGGCCTGCTGCCCTCAGCGGCTGCCTCTCGGGGGGCCCCTGGCCTGGGCTCACAGCCTCCCTGGTGGCACCGTCCCAGGGTCACCCAGACCTCAAGGCGCTGTCCCTCAGCTGGCTCAGTGTTTCCCCAAAGGACGCCTAGAGGGTGGGCGGTCACCAGCCCCGCCCGGCCCTGCCCGCCCACCGTGCTTGTCACAGCTGCATTAAATGCCATCGCTGCACCCACCGCCCGCCTTCTCTAGGATGCAGTGGGGTAGGTGCTGCTCCGTGGCCACCACGGCAGGCGTGGGGCCCCCCTGGCTGTCACTGACCTTCTGTGTGGCCCCATGAGGCCTGCTGTCCCCTAGCACCTCCCCTCAGCCCCCAGCTGAGAAACAGGAACAGGCTGTCGGGACACGCACCCCCTTCCCTGGACACTGGGCTGCCCCTGAGCCCGAGGCCACCAGGAGGCCCTCAGGCTGTTCTCTCCCCTTAAGGGATGCCTTCAGCCTCCGGGGGCCACAAGCTGCCCCGCCCTTGGTGACGCCTTGGCGTGTAGTCCTCGTGCCATCGGCCAGCAGCCCCACCGCCCTCTGGACACCAGGCTCAGGGCCCACCAGCCTGCCAGAGCAGAGTCCGGGGCTGGGCCCAGGAACCTCACCAAGCACCAGGGGTGCCAAGGGGCACCGCAGGCTGAGGATTTGTAATGGGAAAGGGGCCTGCGGCAGAGTCTTCTGTCCCCCCAGGCCCAGGCCCAGGCCCAGGCCCACAGCAGCCACCCTAGGGCCTCTCTGCAGAGGACCCTGCTCTCACCCACCGTGGGGGGCGGAACTGCAGCTTGGGCTCTTGCCAGCCGCACTCTGCAGAACCCCATGGCCCAGGAAATGGTGCCGGGCAGGTGGGGCTCCAGTCTCCATTGACCTGAAACCACCCCCCCCACTTCAGAGATGCAGAAATGGGTGAGGGGAGGGGAGGGGACGGGGCTGCCCTGTGGCTGAGCAGCAGAGCACCTGCCTGGCCCGTGCAGAGCCCCGGCTGCCAGCCCCCGCACTGTGCCCAAAAGAAAAAAAAGTCACTGTCCAAATGCAGAACATGCGCACCTCGGAGAGCAGAGACAGAGCAGGCCCCAGCAGGGCTGCCCCTTAGACAGAAAGCGGACGTCCCCAGAGGAGCCCTCGAGTCAGGAGAGGAGAGCGCACAGGTGGGAGGAGGCGTCTCAAACCGGCAAGAGAAGAACCACCTAGAACTCCATGCCCAACCTTCACCCCAGAAAAGACCCTTAAAGAGAAGGAGCCGTGAGACCGCGTCAAGCACTGAACAGCAGCCGTTGGTGACTGATGTGTCCCAGTGACGTCAGGTCCCAGTGACTGTGGAGGCACACGGAAAGGGGCAGGTGACTGCTGAGCGCCTTCCAAGGGCTCTGGGCTGATTGGGAGGAGGGGGATTTAAAGTGTAGAGAGGCTGCGTGTTCCCTGTAGCCCCCAGACAGTGCTGGGAGAACAAACACGGGTGTTCCGACACTTTCACGATAATAGGTGGTCCCCAGACGGCACCAAGTGGGCGGGGACGCCACGCAATGGGGTGCGGAGGCTCCCCGGCACCAGTAAGGCAGGGGCTTCGTCCCCAGCACCCCAAGAAAACAACAGCTAGCTAATGGGGGATACCCTGTCCCCCATCGTTGGAAGCACAGAATAAGATCACAGAAATAAGTCCTGGTGTTGAGACTCGACGGTGTCGGAGGGCCAGAGCTGCTGGGGAGGGGCTCGGGCCACCAAGTTCAAAATCCAGCTGCACTGTCTATAGACGCCCCTGAAGGCACTGACGGGAAGAGCGTGAAGACGTTAAAAGACACCAAAAGAAAAGCCTTTAGTTACATAAATACCAGACAGAATAGACCTTACGTGGGGGGCAGTCAATGTCCCAGTCCCCCAAAAGGTCCCACAAAGCCCCAAGCGTTATTTATTTATTTTTCAGTAATGGGGAAAGGTACCCAGGGATGCTTTATTGCTGAGCTGAACCCTCAGCCTTCTTTTATATTTTAAGACGGGATCTCGTTAAATTGCTGAGGCTGGCCTTGAACTTTTTTATTTTTTTATTTTTCTGGTACTAGAGATTGAACCCAGGGGCGCTTAACCACTGAGCCACATCCCCAGCCCTTTTTATATTTTATTTAGAGACAGGGTCTCACTGAGTTGCTTACGGCCTTGCTCAGTTGCTGAGGCTGGCTTTGAACTCGCCATCCTCCTGCGTCAGTGTTCCGAGCCATTGGAATTACAGGCGAGCAGCACCGTGCCTGGCCTGGCCTTGAACCTTCAATCCTCCTGCCTCAGCCTCCCAAATTGCTGGGATTACAGGTGTGTAATTCCACTTTCTAATAATTATTAGAATCCACACTTTCTAGGGGATTCTCAACAGAAATGAGTTCAACAAAGAAAAAAAAGTCTTTCCTAATAGAAGAGATTCTAAAAGCACACTTCTAAACTACCAGGTGATGAAGAGGAAAGTATAGTGAAAATCAGAAAAACTGCTGGGGTTTGCATGTGTCTCCTCCAGAATTCAGGTGTCGAGCCTTAATGGCCCTGTGGCAGCCTTAGAAGTCGTGCCCTACGCCGGGCTCGGGCACACCCCTGTGGCCCTAGCTCCCCGAGAGGCCGAGGCCGTAGGATCGCAAATTCAAGTCCAAAATAAAAACCAAAAAGGGGTGAGAATGTGGCTCCGTGGTAGATGCCTCTGGGTTCGATCCCCTGTTCTGGGAGGGGAGACACAAGGAGGCTGGGCCTGCAGGAGCTCAGGTCCCGGGACTCCTCCCGCGTCATAAAGGGCTGGTGGAGGGAGTTCTGCCCCCTGCCCTCCGCCTTCCGCCATGTGAGACGCAGCAGGGGGACCCGGTGGCACCGGGTGCCGCACCTTGATCTTAGATTTCTTAGCTTCCAGGACTGAGCAAAACACACTTCTGTCCTGTGCCAGTCGCTAGTCTGTGGCCGTGCCACAGCAGCCCAGTCAGACTGCAGGTGTCGGGTGTCGCCTGTCCCCTGGATGCCGGCTCCTCGGGTGTCACCCTGGGGAAATACTTAGAGGGCAGGAGGCCCCTGAGGCAGCCGGGGAGAAGTGGGGCCATAGCTCTTCAAAGGAAGCCAGGAGACAGCTGAGTGACTTGGCAACCGCCACCGACACTAGAAGCCCCAGGAGGCACGTCAGAACGCGCTGGACGCCCTGCCAGCCAGACTCCACAGGGACAGTCCTGACCCCGGGGGAAGGGAAAGACGCGAGACGAAGAAAAAGCAAAGGAGTGGACCCCGCAAACGGGCCTAAATGACGGCGTTTCCAGGAAGTGTGACGGGATCAGATGGCACCAGAGAGGGCCAGCAGGGGGTGGGCTTGACCCAGGCCCCAGCTGGTCTGGGAGGAGGGCTTCCAGGCGGCCTTTGCATCACTGTGACCAAAACACCCGACAAGGAAAGCTCAGAGGAGGGAAAGTTCAGGGGGCCGGGTGGCTCGGGGTGGGGCGGTGGCCTGCGTGTGCCAGGCCCTGGGTTCCATCCCTGGCACCACATAAAGATAAAATCAAAATACAGGTACGGTGACCACCTACACCAAAAAATACTAAAAAAAGCATTTACTCGGGGCTCATGGCCCCAGAGTCACCTCCACCGAGGGCCACTCCATGCTGTGGCCCCGGGGGAGGCAGACGTCATGGCGGAAGGGACAGCGGGGGAGAGGCCCAAGTGAAGAACCGCCTTCCAGGGCACCCCCCAGTGAGCCGCCTCCTCCCCGCACACCCCGCCCCCAGTTCCCGCCGTCAGTCATTCACCCCAGGATGGACCCCCTGGGCCACGGCTCGGGATCTGACCACCCCACCTCTGAAGACCCCCATTCCAGGAGCTGTCGGGGCCTCACAGCCAAACGCTGACGGGAGGGAAAGGACTAGATCCCTGTGTTGAGTTAGTGTGCCCACTGGGCATCTTAACTGTCCCCAAGGCCCCCTGCTGAAGTCTTGGTCACCAGCTGTGGTGCTCCTGGGAGGTGGAAGGGCCTTTAGGAAGTGGAGCCTGGGGAGAGGTGGTCACCTGGGCACCAGGCCCTCTCCCCCTCTCTCCTTCCTGGAGGCTGTGAGGGGAGTGGCCTCCTCCCCCATGGACTCCCACCAGAGGCCACCGCAGGCCCCCGCGATGTGTCCAAGCAACCGTGGACTGAAACCAGGAGCCAGAACAGGCTCTTCCCCTTTATAAGTTTATCTTCTCGGCTGTTTGTTACAGGGATGGAGAGCTGGTCGATGCTCCAGTGTGCACTTGTGAGTCAGGGTGGGGGCCAGGGACTGAACTCGGGGGTGCTTACCACTGAGCTGCACTCCCAGCCCTTTTTATTGTGTTTCGAGACAGGGACTTGCTAATTGCCCAAGTTGCCTCAAACTTGTGATCCCCGGCCTCAGCCTGCCCCGCAGCTGAGGTTACAGGACGGTGCCACCCGTTGGCTAAGTTTGCACTTAAACTTGTAAGGGAGTCACTAAAATGATCAAAGCAGAACTGACTTCCAAAGGTTCCGAGGAAAACCATGATGGCTGTTCTTTTGATACTATTAATTGTAGGTAGACACATCTTTATTTTGTTATTTTTTATGTGGTGCTGAGGATGGAACCCAGTGCCTCACACATTGGGCAAGTGCGCTCCACTGAGCCACAGTCCCAGCCCCCAACGATTGCTTTTTAGAAGTCACAAATAACATTAAAAAAAAAAAAAAAAGCTGACACAAAAAGAATAACATAGAAAGGTTTAAAAAATGAACTAAGGGAGGCTGGGGTTGTGGCTCAGCGGTAGAGCGCTCGCCTAGTACATCCGAGGCCCTGGGTTCAATCCTCAGCACCATTAAAAATAAAATAAATAAAATAAAGATATTGTGTCCAACTACAACTAATAAATAAATATTTTTTAAAAGATGAGCTAAGGGCTGGGGCTGTGGCTCAGCTGTGGAGCACTTGGGTTTGATCCTCAGCACCACATAAAAATAAATTAAAAAGGTAAAAAATATTATTAAAAAAAGAAATACAAGAAAAACAGAAATATAACAAACCTAAAAGCACAAAAAGAAGAAAATAATAGGCAATATGAAGGGAATGGAAAACTAATCTTCAATAAGAATCATCAAAATTGTTAGTTGTTTATTTAGAAAAATGAATGAAATTGAAAAGCTTCTTGGGAGAGTGTTCAAAACGGAAAGAAGGTGGCAGTGATCTCAGCCGCTGAGG